TATTGTTATTGTTATTGTTATTGTTATTGTTATTGTTATTGTTATTGTTATTATTGTTATTGTTGTTGTTGTTATTGTTATTGTTGTTGTTATTGTTATTGTTATTGTTATTGTTAAAGAGGTTCTTGGTTGGAGACTGCTCAAGAAGGGAAGTTACAAGAGAGCTCCTGTTTCAAAAGATGAAGTTCTTTTTCCTGGTATCCTGTTCTTACGTGTTTCTTTGTGTGTGTGTGTGTGTGTGTGTGTGTGTGTGTGTGTGTGTGCACGCGCACATGCACGTGTGTGTGTGTCCAGTTGTCTCTTTGTCTTTTAATCTTTCTGATTGTTCATAAACAGGATTCATGCTGCATACATTTTTTTTAATCCTTCAAACTATCAGATTCCCCACCCCACATCACCAAAGGCCTGTGGATTGGAATCTGTCTTCTTTCTCGGTTCCCCTCAGGTCTCCCCAGCCTCCCTACTTCTACTCCCTCAGCCACCTCCTTTGCACCTTCAGCCGCTCCATCCGGTTGCTTTCAGGGCCATTCCACTGGATGATGAGCTTCCCCAGGTCCAACAGGAACACATCCCCCAGGTTGAAACTGCTCCAACTCATCTCTACCTACATGAGAAAAGAAACACTGATGGGGAAAGGTGTTGAAGAGAGCATATCTGGATTCTCTCAGTTGGGGAAGGGGAATTGTTTATATTTTTTTAATTATTTTAAATTATTTTTAGCACAGAACAGATACACAATATTAAAAAATAGAAATTGCTGGCTCTCCCATCGGTCAACATGACCTGTCAGTCTCCATGCAAACATTTTTATTAGGAGTTCAGGCATTAGCCTCTGTTTTGTTGCAGTTGTGATGTTCTCCTCAGTGAGATCAAAGTGTTGTACACGTGGCTTTCTTCCTTACCATTTTTCCTCACAACACCTCTGTGAATGTATGTCAGTCTGAGAACATATAACTGGACACCCAAGCGGATGTTCGAACCTGACTCTCCAAAGAGCTCTTCTAGCACTCTTAATGATGACTGCTCTCCACCCTTTCCCTGTGCCGCCCTTCTGTCTCATTGACCTACCTCTCCAGCTACTATGTTCTTTTTGCCCTTGACGTGCAGCAGGCGTTGCACATTGTATGAGTTGGTCTCCACATGCTTCATACCAGAGGCCACACCGCCATTCTTATAGCTGTGGAGGAAGGTCAGAATTAGCCTGGTCCAAGATGGAGCCCCAAGAACCCTGTCTGCCACTGAGAGAAGGGCTGGTTTCTTCCCAACATGCCTTGCCTAAGAAAATGTGAGGGATCTACACTGTGGAGAGGGAGGAAAGAAGCAAAGTTCCCCAGCCTTTCCTGTCCGCTCAGTCTTCATCAGAGTTCCTGATGTTTACAAAGTGATTTCACAACCAACTACTTCTCAAACCTCAAATGCCCCTTTGTGTCCTATACAACAGCCTGTCCCAAGCCATGGTCCCGCAAACTGACAGGCCACAACTCCCATCATTGCCAGCAGCACAGCTAATGATTATGTTGGATGAAGACAGTGAGAGTCCAACACATCTGGAGGGCCCTGGCTTAGGGAAGGCTGTTTATACACTATCAACATCAGCCACAAACGAATGTATCCAAAGCAAAAAAAGTCAAACAAGGCTTGACTTCTATCCAAAGAATCCATAGCCTGCTTAAGAGTCGGATATGTCCTCTTCACCTACAAGAGAAGGGGACTGAAAATTTTTATTTCAAGTTTCAAATCATGTTTCGATGTTTGGGCATAACATTAAACAGTTAACCAAAATGTGAAATCTTTAAGTTCTGTTCTATCACTTGCAAAGTGTGTGAAGGAACAGCGTGCAAATCCAAATCAAACCGTCATTCATTTTTCTAATACTATCCCATTGCTGATGTGAGATCTGGAGCAGATCACACAAAAAATTGGAAGATGTCAGATTCTTGAGAATCTATTATATCATGCAGTTGCTACTAGCAAGTCCAGTTGTCATGTTATTTCCTTATCTCTGTCCCTGTCTTTTCAACCGTGTCCCACCCCACCCCACCATCCTATATCTGCTAACTTACAGTGCTTTCATTTGAGCTCAAACTATATATTACATAAAGTATATCATTAGGAAAAGGACTCTGTTACGTAAGTACTAAAAGAGGTCTGATAGTCACAACATGAGTGTTCCATACTTCCTACAGCTTACAAAGTAGCTGACTAGTCCTTGGGTAGGAAGCATGGGCAACATGGTTGCTCTGAGGTTCAAGGGAATTTCTTTTCTGCAACACTAACGTGACTCCAGCTTCTAATGGGGTGCTAGATGTAGCATAGAGGAAGGTGAGCTGCCTCCAAAGATCTGGAGGCCTCACATGCTCATCCCTGGATTTTATAGGGCTGTACTTACTCCCATGACCATTCTCTGAAATCTATTTTTTTAAAACGAAGGGGAAAAACTTTTTTAAATAATATAGTTAGAAGGGGCCTATAAGGCCATTGAGTACAACCCCTTGGTCGATACAGAAATCCAAATCAAAGCAGATCTGACAAATAGCGGTCCAGTTTTCTCTCCAATTTTTCTCTTTTCCCCCCTCCAATTTTTAATGTAGGCTATGAAAGACTATGAATTTTAATTTGGAAAAGTTTACCTTTTGGATCTCTTGTTCCAAGTTGTCCAAGACAGCACAGTTACTAACCATGCTGTCTAGGCGATTTGAGGAGTTATAATTTCCAAAGTAACTTTTCCTAGCTCTGCGATGAACTCCCTACAGCCATTACATTACATAACATTACATACATTACATAACAACTGGGTTTGCCACTGGTGCTCCCTTGTAAGGTTGTGTCCCTCAGTCATAAAAAGCCCAGCCTGGCCTGTTCTATTTTTGCCTTTGACCAGGGTGACTCCTTGTTATATCCCTTTTTTTTAGTGTTTCATTTTAGACAGACCATTCATTTTGTGTTGGATTCCCTCTACCAAAATCTGCTTGGTTTTCTTCACAGATAGCACTATTGAACCAATGTAAATTTATGTTTCAAGAGATGGCAACTCTAATTCACTGTAGAAAATATAGGCACACCAGGTATACAGTAGACGTGCACCAGAGAACCACTGACATCAGGATTCTTCCTCCCTGGATGTTAGGGCACCCATTGACACATTGAAAAAGCCAAGCTAAGAAACGGTCATGAGCATTATCAGCCACAGGGGGCAACAAAGAACTTTACGTACATGAGACCCTGTTTGAAGTAACTTCGGAAGACTTCGCTCTCATAGTTTTGGACCTCTCTGTGCTGCACTGCTACTCCACCCAAGTACTCATCCATCTGAGTCGTGTAGATGGCAGCTGCACCCTGTTCATCCTGAGACGAGAGGCTGCCCAGCCAGAAGTGGACATCATAGGTGAAGGAGTTTCCAGTCTTATGGGTCTGTTGAAAGAAAAAGCTACATAGCAAGGCAGGTTGACATAGGATAACCCAACTTCCAGAGATGTTCCTGATTCTCACTCTGCTGCTCAGGTTTTTGACTCCCACACTTAGTTAGCCTTGCCAATTATCATTCATATCATCTATTAGTTACTGAGATGTCTGCTTATACTCACAAGAGGGAGTAAGACAAGCACCCTAGAAGTCCACAACTCCTGCTGGAGTGTAGACATCAGTAAGCTTCACCTGCAATCCAGAGTAAAACCTACTCCGCTCACACACGTGTTTTAATCTGGGGAAAGCAGAGCATGTGTGGGCGACAGGAATAGTTTTGTTCCAAGTTGCAGATAACCCATAGTTTAAAAAAAAAACACCTTACTGTTGGCTGCATTTCCACTCCCACCCTGGACAAGAACAATACTAAGTGCTGGCTTGGGCTAAAGTAGCTGGGAAGGCTCCCAGCATTAGCCACCCAGCAACCTTTTTACTGTCCGGAGAGTCAGCTTCAATGGCCCCATTTTTATTGCAGGCTGTTCTTCCTTCTCTGCAGGACTTGCTTGTCCGGTGGGTGGCTGAATGAATGGTGGCGGTGGCTGGAGAGTGCATGATAGCAGCAGTGGCAACATATGTGTGTGTGTGTGTGTGTGTATGTCTCCTCAGCCCTGGACATGCTGGATAAGCAATCCCTGCAGAAAAGGAAGATCTCTCTTGTCCAGCTGAAGCCTTATTGCCCTTTAAAAACATCACTCAATGTACACTGCAGAGCAGAGTGGGCGCCAGTTTAAAGTGCTCCAAGGCATATGTCACGCGGAGTGACTAAATTTGCTTTGTGTTGACAGGGGTTTGAGGGGAATGTGAAGTTCTGGCTCTGGTGGCAGTAACTTCCACAATGATATGCTTACTTCTTTTCATCAGTCATAAATCTCCCACAATTTAGCTTTGGCAGACAACTCTGGATGCTGGTATTAGAAGAGAGGGAGAAAAACTCGACCAGCCACTTTCTCCAAACCATGAATAACTGTATACACCTCTATCATGTCTCTCCTTTTCTTCCCTGGGCTCATTCAGATGGGCATTTGTCCTGCTGTTGGGTGCGTTGCTAGGGGTGGATTGGTCTGCCCTTTTTTTTTCTGGTGACTACTTGACAAGCAAACAAATGTACCCCCAAGGCACCCTGTGAGGGGCTTCTACTTTTTTGGCATTGTGTTGGTGCACTTTTATTTAGTCTGTTCCCAGCCCATGTGGTCACTCAGAATGGACTAAATTCAAGCCTTGCGCTCGTCAAAGCTGCCAGTATTGTGAAGTGGCTTAATAAATGAGCCACTTTAGGACATCAGCAAATTGAACACTTCCCCTGCTTCTCTGCCAAGTAACAGAGAATTTATTTATTTATTTATATCAGATGGACTAGGAATGCTCATATTTGTTTAGATGCAAGGGTGACCTGACATTTTGTTAATTATGGGCTTCATAAGTGTGTATTTAACAGAGGCCACTGCCACACCAGCAACATGTCCTGATCTGGTAATGAGACTTTTTATCTCTTCCTTTTTGTGCTTCACGATCATGTGGTATATATACCTGGTTGAGTTTCCCAATGTGTTTTAGCCGTACTGGTTCATTTCCTTCTATTTGAACTGTTGTGGCTGGCTATACCATGGTACCAATTTGTTTCCTCTCTTGTTTTATGGGGCCTGAAGCCCCCCAACTTTAATTAATTTAAAAATAAAATTTAAAAGATACATAAATATGTTGGCTAGTGTTTCTTGATAAGCAGAATTCCCTCTGTTGCACAGGTGCCTCTGGAAACAATGCATTGCGCTCAGTAGATTCAGCACCCTCCAGCAGTCTTGTACCACTTGCCAGACAGTAGATGGAGTGTTTGTGCTTTAAACCCATTGACAGAAGTGGACCAACACATCAATATTCTGGCCAGAGGAATATATATACATATATAGTAGGGCAGCCCTGATGGCTGCCATCCCCAAATGCCTCAAAAATATTAATCAATGCATTTTAGTGATTTTTGATTCATCAATAAATATTGTAGGAAAGATTCCTCTGACTGTCCTCTACAATCCCTCCAAGTTTGGTGAAGATTAAGTTTCCCCAAGCCAGTTGCTAAAAGGCACTATCCTAGGGGGACTCACTTTGTGGGTGTGTAACTTGGATGTTTGAAACCCAGTCTTCACCAACTTTGGAGAGGTTGTAAAGGAGGGTCAGTGGATGATTCTCTGTGATGTTGGTGTCTTTAGGTGCCTGGGGCAAACTTTCCTTGTGGGTATATGACATGGACATCTGAAACCCAAACTTCACTAAACTTGCAGAGCATATATAGAAAAGTCATAGAAAGCTTCCAGGCAAAATTGGTGTCTAGGTGCTTGTGGGGCTGCTTCACAGGAGTTTAAAAAAAAACACAAATTGATTAATTTTTTCATTGATTTGTCAGGAAAAAATTTGTAAATTCATTATTCATTGACCTTAATGAATCCTGAATCAAAATGAATCTTTCTGATTCATGCCGAATTCTAGTGCCAATAGAAAAACCACAGCTGTAGGCAGTATCTTTATCAGTACTACATACAAGGCAAAGGAAAAAAAACAATTTTTGAAAAATTTCATCTAAGTGATTGAGTGTATCAGCAATGGTCTAGCATAGGCAAAAATAGCCCCCCCCTTCAAGGAACACTATTTAGGTTACACCACTCAGCACCAAAAGGGCCAGTATAGATGTGCCTAAGTTGAACAGGAGTGAATGTTTTAACCTTTCCTTAAGGAGAACTGCTCCATCTCCTTTATTTTTTCAGATGCTTTGCTCTGCACCTTTTCCAGCTTTATAATATTATTTCTGAAGTCTTCTGATGTTGTTGTGCTTTCTGGCTAAACTTGCAACATTTATATTGCTTATATCCTGTTAGAGGAGCAAAGTTTAGGCAAGGATCTCTGCTCTGATCTAACCAGTCACTCAATTGTGCATTCATCCACACATCCCTTTCTTATCCTCACAGCCAGGCTGCATGTCGATAACCCATCATTTCAGAATGTAAACAATGCAATGAGACAGGGGCTGGCAGGGCAGATGGGGAAAGAATAGAGAGAAGGTGTAGCAATGGGTAGGGTGAGAAGCTTTGATAAGTTATTGTTTGATGACTACCCTACCTTTGGCCAAATTCAGCCTTCAAGACAGCTTCCAATAAGCAGAAATGCAAAAACAATCATTAAAAACCATGCAAATAACAATAACTATGGCAAAAAGTGGCAATATATAAATACCATTGAAAGTTAACAAACTTTAAAAGCACAAGATACGACTAAGTTGTTTATATCACTTAGGAATATTTAAGGATGAGGCACCCCTCAAACTATGAGTCCCCTCTTGCTGCAGCTAGATCCAGCCTTATGAGAGCAGGTTCCACGGCGTTAACGGGATTTAAGTTAGTCATTGATTTAAGTCCTGTTCTCTTGGTCTAACCACAGTTCTCTTCTTATCTTTTCAGCAAGCCTGTAAGATAAGTCAGCATTATCACAGGTGTCACAGGTGGATGGTGAATTGCCCAAGGCAAAGAATGATGCTTACAAGTACCTTGTGAGTTCATGTCTGACATGAGTTTTGACAGGGAAACTTTTAAGTTATAGCTTAGTCCCTTGTATAGATGTTGCAACAGATTTTAACCCCTCCAGTTTTTCAGACCCAATCATATTAATTGCATTATTGGTTAATACAAACCATATTAAATGAATACTGGTTAATACAAACCTAAATAAATAAATAAATAAATAAATAAATATGTACGTACGTACATACGTACGTACGTACGTACGTACGTACGTACATACATACATACATACATACATACATACATACATACATACATACATACATACATACATACATACATACATACATACATACATACATACATACATACATACATACATACATACATACATACATACATTTTTATACTGCACCATCTGGCCTTATCCAGAAGAACTAAATGCCGCTGTTCATTTTTAAAAAGCAAAACGTATCTTGGTTTTTTCCAAAGAGGAGAATCAAGTCCTTCACAATGCATGGATTCAAATCATCACAGCAAAGGACCAGAGAATGGGTGAAAGGCACATAGCATCGTTGCTACTAATGCTGATCCTAGGCCCTGCAAGCTGTCTGTATAAAAACTATAAGCAAGCAACTCTAAACTCCCTGGCATGAGACACAGGGTATTAAGACAAGGAACAATCCTACCAGCGTTCATGTAAGGTTTGCATAACTTGCTGGGGCTAACTGTAACTAATAGACAATGTGTCAGGGCACATCTCAGTTATGCGACCTGCCCTGTGACCCAGGCACATGATCAAACACTTTCTCGTTTAGTCTCAGTTAGCCACTGCAATTTATGCAAACTTTGGGCAAACACCAGTCAGAATCTGGACAGTAAATCAGCTGAGCTTTCCATCTAAGCGTTTTCAGATGTGCAGCTGCATCAAAAACAAAAAGAGTTTAAATAAAGACTAAAATATTTTCCTTGTCATCAGCTCTCATGGACGGCAACCCTCTTCATCGAATGCATCTGAAGCAGCTTATGCCAAATAAAGCTAGTTTAAGGTACCACAAAGCTCTATGTAACGTGGGCAAATCTGCACTTAGAGGTTGCATGTTCATACTCACACATTTGCCCCAACAACATGCAGACTTCCATGTAAACAATCTGCCTCATCTACGATCCCATTGCATTGCACAACCCACTGCCACCCTCCAAACAGGACAAGACCCCCCTAAGTCTGCTTCTTTTGGGGGCTTTCTTCTTTCCCATCCCATCAAGTTAAATAATATAAAGCCTTCGCTTTTACCGCAAGAATGATATACGCATCTCCTTCGTAAAAACTCCCATACGATTGGGTTGGTATAGGCACCATCTGCATGTTCTGGAAGGAAAAGAAGGAGAAAATGAGCTGGCTCCATGCAAAAGGTCTTTCACTCAGATGGGTTTATATCATGAAGAGCGTTCTTCCTGTATACTACACATGACATTCGATGTGTCTTTGCTAGTCTTGTGGAAATCTTTAATTTTCTTTGTGTTCTACAGAATCTAGCAAAATATTCTCGTCCCATTCAAGTTCTGCACTACCTTCCCCCCTATTCCTGCATCAAAAATCATATGTGTTTTGGAAGATCCCTTTTGCTACAATACACATTTCCTACATCAATTTTCAAATGTACACATTTTTGGTTGTGCACTTTTACTTGCATATAATTTGAAGGAAAATAACTGAAAGAGAGCATTGCTACATTTCCTCCCTGCATTAGGAAACAGAAAAATAGCTTGCATTCATAATTTTGCAGAGTACATACTGGATAAATTCACAATAAATCTTTCAAATTCCTTTTCTATCCCATGTCCTTGCATTTAATATGCACATTTATAGAAACTGCTAATCACATTTTCTGGAGGATGGGGCTGATAATTGTTAAGATCAAAGTAGGCAGGAGATTTAACTGTGCCCCCCCCCCTGCACAGAAGGGAAAATCCCTTTTCTGAAATTGCTATTTGCTTTGGAAGCTTTACTCCTTGTAGCTAGAGAGACCTATGCGACGCCAGCTTAGCCTGTGGAGGTGTCCTTGTTTAAATAGCAGGTGGGGATGTAAGGCAGGGACAGGATTAGCCTCTTCCTTCCTGATCCTCTTGTCTCCAACGATACTCAGGCCATTCCTAGGCTCATGCTTTTTCAAAAAAATGTGTACAACAATTGAATTTCTACCATTAATGTCACATCTGGGTTGCCCCCCAAAACAGCACATTAAACATTAGGATTCTGCAATTTCTGTTGCAATTCCTCCGCATTCAAAAGGCAGGACATCCCAGGACAATGTGGAATGGTGGGAAGACAGAGAGCACATAGAGAGAAATACACTTTTTAAAGTTGGTCTTGTCCTGGGATACTCAGCGTGGTGTGGTGGACATAGTGACAGACTAGGGCTCTGGAGACCAGGGTTCAAATTTCTGCCCAACCATGGAAATGCACGTTGGGCTTTTCACCAATTGGTGAAACCACTCCTTAAATATTTCACTTACGGTATATCACAGAAGTGAGTATACCCCCTCACATTTCATAAATATTGTAGCATATCTTTTCATGTGACAACACTGAAGAAATGACAATCTGTATACCCACTGCTTTACATTGTAGCCAAGTGCCATTTCTTCAGTGGTGTCACATGAAAATATATACTAAAATATTTATGAAATGTAAGGGGGTGTACTCACTTCTGTGATATACTGTATCTTGAAAGCCCTGTTAGGGGAAAGTCCATATTAGGGTCACTCCAACTTGACGACACAAAACAACTTGTCCTCAACTTGATACAATACTTTTATCTTGTTTTTTCCTCTCTCTCTCTCTCTTTCTCCCACACCCCCTACACAAACCACACCAGTACGTACCTCAATTCTCCATATCTGGAGTCCAGGTGTAGTTTTGTTCAGAGTCCGGGTAACCGTGGCACTGAGTTCCGGCATGATGCTTAGCCCTTTGTGGTGAGATCTGGCATAAGGAACGGGAAAACTGACTGATAACAGCCATGTCACAAAGTATGCATATCAACCAACACCATAAAATCGCAGAGCGACCTGGGCTACTTCTATAGTGTTGAAATTCCCACCACCACCCATTCCTACAATTTGAAAGCACTACTGAGAGAACCAGAATATATGATCATCTGTGTTCATTCAGATCTTGTTTGCTTTTGTCTATACATTGCCCCCTGTAATAGGACTTGAGGTGGCAAACAATGATGAGGTGAAAAAAACCTTCTAAAACAAGTAAAAACAGTAAACAGCTGCAATTAAAACCACAGAAGTCTTTAAAGGCAATGATGATGATGGTTGAGAAGATGATGGTGGCAATGGCACTGATGACAGCATTTGCCTGGATCAAAAGTCTCTTTTACAGCAAACACCTGCCTCAATGATAATAATAGCTTGAACCTCAAGTGGGTGGACGTACACTAAGAATCGAGTTGTACATGCTTTGAGTACATGCCCGGTATGGGAATTTGTAATCAGTATGACAAACAAGCTCACAAATCCTTTTCCATAAAATAAAATAAAAAAACTAAAAAACACACACTGCCTGCTCCTGATTTTCCTCAAAACAATCTTTTTCACCATCCTAATTTTGCAAGGGAATAGCTTATTAGCTGCTCCTGTATGACATGTGGGAGTAACAAACTCCCTCAAATCTGCAGCTACATTCTCCTCATGCTTTAGAACAGCAACAACGAGGAGAACAGTTTTGGGACTATTAGTTACACCAAAGACAAAATGAGATCTTGCAAAGTGGGAAATGAGTCGGATCTGTCCTCCGAAATGCTTTGCTTGAATCAAGCAAGCTCAGCTCTTGGGATGGCTTACTTTAGTGTTTACTCTCTACACTTAAAACATCATTTTTTGGGGAGAGGGGGACATGGGGGGGATTTTTATGCATGGGGTCCTCTTGCATATGTATGTGTAGTTTAAAGAAATAAACATTTTAACGCAACACACAACGAAGAAACAACAGTGACAAGTCACTTAAAAGTAAGGAACTGCTTCTGGGAAACAAGGTTCCAAACTCAGACTGGGCCTGTGTATATTCTGGTGGCTTCTGCAACTAAAGAGAAGCCCCTGGATAAAGCAGTGGAGACAAGAGTTCTGCTTCCTAAGATTTTCAGCTTCGAAATGGTGGGAAGGGTGAGGTTCGAATTGCCTTAGGATTTCAGAGATGGGCTTGGAAAGGCATTAGCAACATGCAGCCAATTTTTAAAAGCAGAAAAATGCCTGAATAAGATTCTCCTTAGACCAGACACTGATTCTGCAGCTTGGGGCTGTGCATCCTTGAGAGAAAAGACTGCCTGTTTATTCTACCTTGCCTGACTAAGGTAAAGGTAAAGGTGAGATGGGCTTGGAAAGGCATTAGCAACATGCAGCCAATTTTTAAAAGCAGAAAAATGCCTGAATAAGATTCTCCTTAGACCAGACACTGATTCTTCAGCTTGGGACTGTGCATCCTTGAGAGAAAAGACTGCCTGTTTATTCTACCTTGCCTGACTAAGCCTTTGGTAAATTAGACTGCTTTTGTAATTCATAATCTGAGAGATTAGCAGAGCTTTGTAGTTTGTAAGAAGAGGAAACTGGCATTTGCCTTTAATGTGTAATCTGACTCTGAGATATCTGAGGGTCATCAGGGTGGAGCTTCAGTGTAAATCCCTCCCCCCCCCCGCACCCCCAAGCAGGGTGGAAGAACAGGAAATAATGACACAATATAGTAAAAACTGCTGGCCAAGGGCCATCAGAGGACAATCTTCTTTTTGCTATCCAGTCCAAGTCTGATTTAAAGGCAGAGAACCATAAGGAGAAAGAATACTTAAAGAGCTGACTCAACAGGTAGGTACGGAGACCACCTGGATACTGTCTTCCTTACATGACTGAGATACAGTACATGCATTCTGATTCTGTTCAAATTATTTAAAAAATATATTCGCGAAGGCTTTCACGACCGGGATCTAATGGTTGTTGTGGGTTTTTCGGGCTCTTTGGCCGTGTTCTGAAGGTTGTTCTTCCTAACGTTTCGCCAGTCTCTGTGGCCGGCATCTTCAGAGGACAGCAACCTGTGCCCAGAGCACCCGAAAAACCCAGAACAACTATTTAAAAAATGATTTCTAATTTAATGTATATATATATTAGCATATGCAAATCAGGATCTCTTTTATCCTCTGGGTTGTGCATACATGCTTTTCTTTTCAGTACTGTGCAAAAAAAGAAAAAAAAGAAAGAAAGACAGAAAAGAAAAGAAAAGGAAAGGAAAAAAAGGCCATCCTAGCTGCCAGTCAGACCGCAATATGGTGCCAATCTCGACCTGGTATAAGGTGCCTTTATATATATTTACATATTTCACAAGATAGTTTCATATATTTATTAAATAAGCCTTGAAATTGATTGACTGATTAAAGGAATTAACCATAAAAATTAAAATAAACCATAATTGATAACAAAACAGAATGAAAGCTGAGTGGTCCGAGGCCAACAAAAGGATAAGCAGAAGGTAAGGAATGCATTTGCCGCCCCCGCATCCCCATCCCCGAATCCAGTCAGTGTTTGCAGTATTGCCCAGTTGTGTGGGGTGTGCACAAGACCAAAACCTTGAGAAGTAAAGTTGCACAGATTTTTATTTAAAACAAGTGACACCAACCCAGACATTTAAAAAGTAGACATCTCTTAAAATTAGCTAAAGGCTGTTCATGCTTCCATTTCGTACTCAAACAATCTGTAGAACTTTGGGGAAAAGGTTTTTCCTCCTTCTTTTTATTGCAGAGAGTAAGTACCCTTTGACAGACACTAAGCCACTGAGAAGAGCTGGATGCATCCTTCAGCCTGGCTCTCAGAACAACTGCCCAGTCCTAAAGCTGGCCTTCTTTCTGCCTGGCTTCTACCTCAACCCAGAAGCATATGTGGGAGGCAGAGTAATCACCACTAGGTCAAATCTTAGCACTCAGTTTGCATGTCCAAGTTTTGCCAGCACTGAGGAAAACACAACGAAATAGATCTCATGTATTTCAAAAAATATAATACTAGCAGCTATTGCTGGCATCCTATTGCCTATAGCCTAATAAGTTACACTACAATAGGCCCACTGAATCAACGGGAATTCAGTGAGTCAACTCCACTGTGGGTTCAGTTGGTTCAAATGGGCCTGCTCCAATGGCTACTTACTATGCTAAAGTAAGTTGCTACTAGAGATAAGCAGAAAAAGAACCACAAAGGAAACAAACAAAGAAAGAAACAAACAAACAAACAAACAAAACCATGAACTGGGCCATTCTGTGGTTCATTCTGGGGTGCTTTGAGGAAACACACCTATCCAGAATGAAACGAAACACTAAACTATTATTGGTGTTGAAGACTCGTACACTTTATGATTTTGTGTGATTTGGGATTTCTGAGAGTGGTGGAATGGTCCCTGCTAAACTCACAGCAAGTCTTCCACTGACTCTCCTCCCCACCCCTGCCAAGTTTGGGAAAGACTGGATTTGGGAGGTCTGCGTTATAGCCACCGAAAACAGGTCCCCCCAGAAAAGTGCTCTGAAGGGACCTCCCAGGTGTGCCCAGTGCATTGTCATTGGAAGCGAGCCAGTCTGTCTATCTGTGGCAATGCAAGGATGCAATCAGATGGCTGCAAAGGCCTGCACATGATCACACTGGAAAAGATTGCTTTTAACGGAGGCAAACTCACTTCAAGGGACCCTTTCATCTGCCAGGAAATTGCTCTAGCCTGCCCCCCCCCCAAAAGCAGAAGCCCTACTGCTAGACCAAAAAGGTCCAGTTTGGGCACAGATTGGGACAGGCTAGAGTGCATTTCCCTATGGATTGTGTTACTGCCTGGAAACCCACCAAACACTGTACCAGCTAACAAGTGCTTCAAACTGTGATCTATTTCCATATGGGATCACACCTTGAGTATGTGTAGGATTCCAAGACAAATCCAGCAATTCAGAGCTGTCTGTTTGACATCATCTATAAGACACAAGCATTCAATTGCTGATGGGTAGTTGACAGTGGATGAAACAGAATCTGTGATTCTGCAAACCTCTTTGTGGGTCCCTCTAACACCTTTGAACCAGTGCACAATGTGACATCTAAGAGAAGGGATCCACAGGGAGTCCCTTTGGCAATCTAGATTCACATTTTTCCATCTCTGCAACAAGTGAAGCTTCCTAGGAGTGATTCTTCCCTGTCACTTTCTGGAGACATTCACTAATTCCCCAAGTTTCACAGCACAGGGCTTCTGCTAAGCCAGCAAGCGAGTGTGACAGCTTTCTCTGCATGAAGCAGATTCGGGATCACAGAAACATGCTCAAATTAAAGCTGGAAGCAGAAGCAAATGGTGTCCTTCTAGTTAGGACCTTCAGCTAAATCTCCACTGCCCTCATTCCTCCAAACCTGAAATAATTTCCAGGTGATTAAAAAAAACTAAAACAAAGGCACACGAGAGAGAGAGAGAGAGAGAGAGAGAGAGAGAGAGAGAGGAGACAGGTTGCCTAAGGGCAAGACAAGTTTAACTCATGGCTCCAGCAGAGAGCAAATACAACTTCGGAAGACACTGGGCAAGCATACCCCTGCCCTAACGCATGCAGAGGCAGCCAGTGCCAGGAGCTGGAGATCCTGAGAGAGAGCCACTTACCTTAGCTGTGACGGCGGCTTGGTGGGCACGGGGCACCTTGGCGACGAACCGTACCTGAACAGAGCAAGCACCGAGGTGACCTTTGGTCCCTCCTTTCCTCCACACACAACGCTGTAGCCACCTGCCTTTGCCATATAAGGGCAGACGTACCTAGGAAGGGAAGAGCAGCTGTTTGAGCCAAGGTCCCTTCACAGTGTCCTTGTAATCCGTGTTACTCTCTCGGCGTGCGACCACCTAGGCACACAGTCAGGGTGCTGCTCGCTTGTGCTGGAGGGAAGGCCTGTGCCCCTGTGGCCCTCCTCAGATACCAGTGCAGTTCATCAGCTACATTATTAGTGCCATCTGCTAATGTTTTTGCAGAAAGCAAGAACAGATCGGTTATGGAGTACATGCTTACAACTTTGTATTCTGCTTGGTTCGTCATCCTCTTAATTTTATCTTTAGTCTTGCTTCCCATCATCTGACTTGACTGGTTGAAAAATGTGATAGATTTTTAACAAGACAGGGCACCATTTAATTTAGAGATTGGAACAGAGGCAGGCAGAAGAGGGGTCAGGATTCACTGGAATATCTGTGGGTGATCTAGTCAAGGTAGAAGAGACTACAGAGTCTGCAGCCCAATTCATCAGCTGCCTTGAGTGTCCCCCAGACTGGTGTGTGTGGGGGTTACATAGAGCCTGGGGTTGGGGGAGGTATGGAGGCCAGATTGCAGACAGTGAGGTCAGATGGAAATTAAATACAGAAAATACAGTGAAAACTACATCATTTCCCGCAACTTCAGGAAGTTATCTATTCCTGCCTTTGAAACTGGTTGACAACTATGATGGTCGTGTTGGCCAATTTTCAGCCTGCAAGATCCTCCAGGTGCTGCAAGAAATGCCAAATATGGGGAAAACAACCCCCCAAACCACCAAAGAAGAAAATCCTAGACATGTCTGGAAAGCCACTTCCAGTTTTGAAAAGTGGTTATTGCAGGTTCTTTGGGAACCATGGGAGGCTTTCACTGGAGATGGGAACAAATCACTTCTCCCTCCTTTGTACGAAGTGCACTGCACGGCACCAGAGGTGCTGTATGGGGCCATCCCTCACCCCACCCCAGCTGGCTGGGCCGCTCACCATGCTTTGCATCCCAATGGGGCCCTCCTTCCTTGCTGGTGCTCCAGTCAAGCCAGAAACTTGGCCATCCCATCTTTGCCCCCTCTGGCAGCCAACCATACCCTGGCTGTGTAATCACCCTGCCTCTTTGTGGGTCAGCTGCCAGAGGAGGCAGGGATGGGCCACACAAGCTCCTGGCCTCTCTGGAGCACCATTGGAGAAGGAGGACCCGGGCAGTGTGCAAAGCATGATGAGTGGCCTGGCCAGCCAGGGTGGGTGGAGCATGGGCCCATGGTGCCATGCCCAGCGCTTCGTATGAAGCATGATGAAGTGATTCATGCCCATCTCTAGTTTTCACCCCTTTGGGTTTTTATAAGAAAAAAAGAGGAACATTTGAGGGAAAATATTTATTGGGTGGGTAGGAGAGTGCGATGGTCACAAGGCTTGAAAAGTAGCTTTGGGCCAACATAAAGCCTTAGGGCTACCATTCGTCTCCACTTGCTCCCTCCTGATCTCCAGTAGGATGAGAAAATATACCCCCAGTGGTGTTCCAGAGCCACTAAAGAACTCAGCGGTTATTTCCACAGGGACTTTGATCATTAAGCTGAATATAGGAGCTGTGGGACACAGCTTTACTTGGTAGATTGCATAATTTAGGGACTATGTGGTGTTTGCTGATTGAACAATGAATAATGGGTGCTCTCTTAGGAAATTTTAAATTCTCTTTATTTTAAAATGTGAACTGCTTTGAAAACTAGGAAAGCAGCAAACACGCACCACACCAAAAATGAACAGATATTATAGAAGTATTAGAAAGGGGGAATGCAATCTTGAATTTTAAGAATGATAGGTTTTTGCTAAAGATTTAATGCAGATATTTTAAACAGAGGAAGTAACCCCACAAGCCTATGGACAAATGGAGTAAAGAGTAAATGAAGTATGGTGAATTCCCAAACGTTCTGAACTTAAGATCCTCTTCTAAACACACAGTGTCTTCTACCTCCATGCCCAACCATCTGCTCTGCATAGGAGTATGTGAAGATCCTTCCTTGCAATGAGGGCCAGCCCTACTATTAGGCAGAATAAGGCAGTCATCTCAGATGCCAGCTGCTGAATGATGTGGAGGGGCTGTGGCATAGACTGCTCGGAGGTTCCCCTCCATTGGAAGATAGAACTGTGTGTGGTCTCGTGGCGCAGTAGTTAAACTGCTGTACTGCAGCTAAAACTGTGCTCACGACCTGGGGTTCAATCCCAGGTAGCCGGCTCAAGGCTTCTATTCTTCCAAGGTCGGTAAAATGAGTACCCAGCTTGCTGGGGGGCAATGTGTAGCCTGCATAACTAACTTGTAAACTGCCCAGAGAGTGCTTGAAGCACTATGGGGCGGTATATAAGCAGCACGCTTTGCTTTGCTTTGCAGGCAGCCTGCCTTACAGTCCCATGGCTAGCTTCATACCCTTAAGAATGGTGGAAGATGCTGTCTTAAAACCAGGGTTGAAATAAGATTTAATGGAGAGCAGCTTGTGACCAAAACAGGGGTCTCCACCCTCAAATTCAGGGGAAGTCTCCCATCCCACCTGTTCCACAAGCTTCCCATCAATGACAGCCTTGGTGGCTTCTGTCTGTAATGAAAGGGACTACATATTATTGTTTGCTTCAGGCAGCAAAATATCTCAGATCAGCTCTGGAGGCAGAGATAAAGGATCTGAAGAGTACAGCCCAGTGTGCTTTTAGGAAGGGGCTAGAACAAAACTTTGACTCATCCCCATTGCCTCAGTGAAATCCCCAAAGAGAAACATCGTGTGAACGAAGAACAATGTTTCCAGCTATGCCCTTGATGAGATTCAACTTGAATCATGAGAGTGATCAGTCTCCTCATCTCCCAGGTGTCAGGTCCAGCAGTGGGCTGCCTTCTTTGTGATCGTAATTCTTCCAAAGAAAGCAGAACTAATAAACCTGGAGTTGATTTCAACAGGATGATTGGCAGGGAAGGCTAGAGAACTGTTTGCCTTCTCTCACAACATGCAGATTAGCTCATCTGCATGAGCAGCAATTGCTCCGTAATCAAAATTCTACCAGTGCCCTTTCTTGGATTACATCAATTGATTGATCTATGAAAGGCTGATGGATGGTTCACAGTGTATGGGTGTGCAGTTGCATGGGGTGGGTGGGGCAGAAGTCAGTTTTATCACCCATTTATTTTCCATTGTTGCAAGAATGGCACTTATGACAGGATAAATCCTCCCTCCAGGGTGCAGCAGACCCCCATTTCATGTCCAGAGCATAAGCAGAGATGCATCAGAATCCTATGATTCGGTGTGGTGCCTGCCAACTCTGCCTTTAGAAAATTAGCATATGACGGTGGGGGCAGCTAGTCTTTTATCAGATGCACTACTTTTCTGTTTTCAAAGGGGCTGTTTGCAGGGAGGATCATTCCAGCAGGAAATCTGCTGAGCCAGCTTATCAGGGGATTCTGCTGCATGTGGCAATTTGCTTTTGTTATAAAACTTTGGGAGCAGCATCTTCCCTCGGGATGCCCTTACCCCAAGCCTCCTGCAATGCTAACCATCTGCTTAACAGCCCTTCAGTGACACACGTGAAACAAAACGACTGGAGGTTCCTCTGCGCTTCTCTCTTTATGACTCCCAGGGAAAGGTTCAACTTATCTTATCTCCACTGTTGAGCTAGCAGAATTGCATTCCTGGCAGAGGCAGCTCCTTGTGCCCACTGTGGTCCCTAGCAGACCAGCAAACAACGCCTCCCGAGTTGCCCTTCTGTTGCAAGTAAAGACCCTGCGACTGACCCTTCTTCAGCAGAGTGCATAAAATGCCCAGATGAACGCCTCCTGCCTGGCACAGTGCCCCTCCCAGGACAATGATCATGAACATTCAGGAGGAACAAAGGAGCCTGTAGTTCTGTATTCCCCAATGCATAGTTTGGCATTGCACTGGTACAGGCCACTGTGATATGTGTCATGGATTCTGCAACACACATATGTGCTATAGGGTAGGTATTTGGTGGGACTCCCAGGTCTGAGGACACTGGCTGAATTCTTACGGCATTGCTCTGCTTCCCTGAGCCCCCAGCCAGGAAGATACATCTTAGGACCAGCTATCCTGGAGGAGTAAGATCATGGCCACTGGTCCCATCACCTCCTGGCAAATAGAAGGGGAAGATGTGGAGGCAGTGACAGATTTTACTTTCTTGGGCTCCATGATCACTGCAGATGGAGACGGCAGCCCCGAAATTAAAAGACCCCTGCTTCTTGGGAGGAAAGTGATGACAAACCTTGACAGCATCTTAAAAAGCAGAGACATCACCTTGCCAACAAAAGTCCGCATAGTCAAAGCTATGGTTTTTCTGGTAGTGACGTATGGAAGTGAGAGCTGGACCATAAAGAAAGCAGACCGCCGAAGAATTGATGCTTTTGAACTGTGGTGCTGGAGGAGGATCTTGAGAGTCCCCTGGACTGCAAGGAGAACAAACCTATCAATTCTAAAGGAAATCAACCCTGAGTGCTCACTGGGAGGACAGATCCTGAAGCTGAGGCTCCAATACTCTGGCCATCTCATGAGAAGATAGGACTCCCTGGAAAAGACCCTGATGTTGGGAAAGTGTGAAGGCAAGAGGAGAAGGGGACGGCAGAGGACGAGATGGTTGGACAGTGTCATCGAAGCCACCAAAATGACTTTGACCAAACTCCGGGAGGCAGTGGAAGATAGGAGGGCCTGGTGTGCTCTGGTCCATGGGGTCACGAAGAGTCGGACATGACTGAACGACTAAACGAACCCTGGAGGAGGTGGAAATTTGATTCTTTTGTGTGTGAAGTGACTTTAAACCCTGGACACCAAACTCCAACCATTCCCAGCTGGTGCCAGAATTCATTAGTCTGGGGCAAAGGTGCTTGCATCTACATCATGTGGGTACAGTGCTAGCACAACAACAATACAAAATCAAGAGGAAGGGGATGGGGAGAGAACTGGTAGGGAGAGGTGTACCTGCTTTGTGCCGTTAGTAACAAGACAGAGAGTTGCAAGATCATCCTTAGGATGCCTGAA